TTCTTATTTCTGTCCTTTCCTTATATTGGCATATATACAGTTGKATAATAGAAGTCTGAGCCTCATTAGCAGCATGTTTTTCCTTGGGCCTGTTTACAGGAAGTTGAGTTATAGTCAGAGACTGCCATGTGATCCATCTAAAGCATGCGTCTTTCATGGTGGTATCTACTTAAAGCCACTGATTGCTTTTTGTATAAAGTTTTGAGCTCCTAAGGTATTTTAAATCATTCATGGCATGGCCCCTGATTAATTTTCCAACCATCCTTCTTATCCTCCAACAAGTAGGCTGCACCAGCACAGAACTCCTGCCCATTCCCCAAGCAGCCAGTGATTAAGCATCCATCCCTGAGCTTGTTTCCATCCTCAATGTTCCCCAAAGTATAGTCAGGTGTGATCAATAGCTATAATCACTCACTGCAGCAAGACTCTGAGAAAATTGTCCTAGTGAGGTCCTGAGTAATTACTTTGTTTATAATTAGTTWTCCCAGGATCTGAAGTCCATCGGGAGCCGGTTCCCTTAGGTGCAGCGATGAGTAGTGAGAGATATGAGCTGGGGTGGTGTAGACACAGATTATGACTATAGAGGTTCTTACTTCACATGCCTATAATGAATGAGGGGAGACGGATCTCAGGTCAGGGTCTTGGAGTCACTCTCAGAAATCCTAGGTAAGTTAAGAATAAGCTCCACCACTTATTTTACCTGTAATGACTTTTCAATTTGAAGGTATAGTTTTTCCAGGTTATAAGTTTTCCAGGGTAGTTTTTTTAAATGTGATGGCCTGTCTGTTCTATACTTCTCTTTCACATCTTCTCAACATTCTACAAGTACTTTTTTAATGTTTGCCAGTTTAGTTGTTAATAACATTTGTGAATATCAATGTGCAGTACATCTTATGATACAACAACAAGATTATATCATTTCAACCTAATGACAGCTCTGTGAACTAGGTAGGCTGTAATGCAGTAGTTCTACAGTCTTGCTTTCTTTTAAAATCATCTGTGAAGCTTTAACATATTTTTGGACAGCCCCCTTCAGAAATTGTGATTAGATTTTTCTGAGAAGACCCAATAATCTGTATTTTTTAAAAAAATGTTTGTCCTTCCTATTCCTGTTCAGTCCATCTACCAAAGCATTGGCATTCTATAGGTGTTATGAAAAATATAAAACCTAAACCATGAAATCAGAAAAAGTATTTTAACATTATGCCCAAGTGAGTTGCATGTACACTAAAATCTCTCACTGATTCCTATGTGTACCCCACTCTGAGAATTCCTGATTTCATAGGTMAGGGAGACATGAAGGTTAATCCATCCTTAGCATAGAAGCTGAAACTGATGCCTCTTGTTTGTGATTCCTAGACACACTCTTGACATCCGGGATGGAATTTCCTCAGTTACAAGGGGAGAAAAATTCTGAGAAACCAGGTATATGATTTGCAGTAGAGATTTTCTTCCCATTGCAATGCCAGCAGATAATGTTCAAGGGTAAAAACTGCTAATGCAGCAGAATTAAACACCACTAGCAGGGTGAAGATCCCAGTGGTTGGCTTCCATTATGTCTTTTTAGTTAAGGAGCTCCTTACATCTCTTAATGCCCCTCCTCTGATTTATTTGTCAGATTTGGGGTACAATGGGCTATATAAGAGTCAGAATTTTCCAGAAATCAGAACCAGACCATTTACACAGATAAATATGTGTAGATAAAGAGGAAGGGATAGAGAAGAACAGGGATAAAGAGTGAGAAAGAGATTCGTTTTAAGAAATTAACTTGCATGATCATGGGACTGGCAGGTCTGAAATCCACAGTGTAGGTCAGCAGAGAGGCTGCCAAGTAGTGTTGATGCTACCATCTTGGGTCTGAAGAAGGCAAACTGGAGCAGAACCCTTTTCTCTTCAGCAGACTTAGTCTTTCCTCTTAARGCTTTCACTTAATGTATGAACCCACCTCCCATGAAGGGTGATTTGTTTTATTGATTTGAATGCTAGTCATATTACAATGCCTTCCCAGAACCATCTAGATTGGTGTTTGACCCAAAMAAGGTGGTGTGGTTTGGATCTGGAATGGCCACCATTCTCATGTGTTCATAGGTGGGGCTTTGGGGAAGTGATTGGATCTAAGGCCTCTGACTTCATCAGTGGATTAATCCATTGAGGGTGGAATGGATCGCAGGGAGGTGGGACCTAGATGGAGGAARCAGGTCACTGGAGACAAGCCCTGGAAGGGGTTTATCTCTGGGCCCTTCCCTCCCTCCTTACTCTCTTTCTGCTTCCTGGCTGCCATGATCTGAGCAGCTTTCCTCCCCCACACCCTTACATCATTTTGATCTGCCTCACCTCAGGCCTAGAGCAACAGAGCCAGGCAACCATGGACGGAAACCCCAAACTGTGAACCCAAAGAAACTTTCCACCTTTAAGTTGCTTATGTCAGGGATTTTGGTCATAGTGATGAAAATCTAACCAAGTCTTACACATTAGGTACCAGGGCCTAGCCGAGTTGAAATGAAATGAAACTAACCATCACATGGGCTGTGGATAGTGGAGGAAGAACTCAATTAAGGGCTTGGAGGTAGAATTGTTTTTGTTTCCCCCATAATTTCTAAAATTATCTTCATATTCATTTTCCCCACACCAATATCAATGACATAAGGTGAAATGAAGCATAAAAAATTTTTAGACGAGGTGCTGTGGTTGTAGCTCAGTGGTAGAGTGCTGGCCTTGCATGTGTGAGGCCCTGGGTTTGATTCTCAGCACCACATAAAAATAAACAAAAAAAATGAAGGTATTGTGTCCATATAACCTAATAAATAAATAAATAAGACTAGAAACCTCCTAGGTTTCTAAGGTCTTAAAAAAAGGGGGGAGTTTTAGACCAACTCAATACAAAGTAGTGAAATGAGCAGTAGATCTGATGTACCCTGATGTTTTCCATGTTTGCAAAATTACATCCATGAAGTTTGTAACAGAGTGTCAAAATGCACAGCTAAACAGTTAAGAAGTGAGTTCTTGTTCTGGAAACAATTGACAGTAGTGGTATTTTTAACTTGATAGAGTTTTGCTGTCCTTAGGTGAAGGAATGCGTGCCTCAGCCTGAGAGGCAGTCAGTGAGTATTTATGGGACACTGACCACGTCAGGCTCCAGGCCGGGGGCTGCCCTGCTGCAGTCATGAGGCAGACATGACTTTTCTTCATGGAGTTCATAATCAATGAGAAGTCAGCCGTCAACCAGGGATCAGGGAACTGGGTGCCACAAGATGAGTCCAAGATGCTCTGGAAACTGTAGCATGATACAAGGAAGGTTTAGCTTAGCAAGCACCACATAATACCCCTGAAAGATGAGGGGGTAGGCCAGGTGAAGAGGGGGCAAGGAAAGCAGGTGGGAGGCAGGACAAACAGCAARTGTGAAACACTGGAGCCTAGAAATGATGGCTTCAGCCCAGCACTGCTGACAGGGGAGGCAAGAGGCATCGTGCAGCCAGGAGAGGCTGAGGAAGTGGGAAAGGATCAGGTAATGAAGTCTCATTTGTGCTCCTGAAGGGAACTTTGCCTTTTTCTTAAGAGCACTGAGAATCCATCACTGGATGTAACCAGAAGAGAATTTCATCTTATAATGTCACAGTGCAAAAGAAAGTATTTGGAGGAGAAGGGTATTRAAGCTTAGAAGCAGGAATTTAAGAGGCAGTTCGCACAGTTCAAGTGACATAGGAGGTCAGCTTGTCTAAGGTAGTGATGTTTGGAACAAAGAGTGGATGAATTCAGAATGCAGTGCAGACTCTGTAGGACTTGYTGGATTGGATATGGATGGTGAGAGAAATGAGTGAGTGAAACAAAGCTCTCAGGTTTCTGAGTRTGAGCCTGAATTCCTTTTACTTAATATGAGAGACAGGAGGACAGGGTTGGGAAAGGAGCAGGMAGAGATCATGAATTTCACTTGGGATCTGTTCTGCTTACTATGCCTGTGGTACATTCAAGGGAAGAWAATCATTAAGTCTTAAAATAGGGTTCTGTAGGATAGAAAGAGGTCAACACCTGAGTTTTAAATGATATTTGAAACTTTGAAGTRCATGAGTTTTTCTTGGGAGTATACGTTGAATTAGAAGGCTGCAAAGTTTAGAAAAATTCCTAAAGAATATTACCACGTCAAAAACTGAAAAAGCAAGACCCAGTTATAATCACTGAAGGTTGTTGGCCTGGCAGAAAAGAAAAAAAATCAATACATTCTGTGTCTCAGAAACAAATAAATAGGGATGTTTATAAAATGATACAATATTGTACCATGTTAAAAAGAAGTTGGGCTGGGGCTGTAGCTAGGCGGCAGAGCACTTACACTGGATTTGATCCTCCCCACCACATAAAAATAAACAAMTAATAAAGGCATTCTATCCACCTACAGCTACAAAAAAATTTTTTTAAAAAGATGTGAAGAAAATATATCTTATTTTTAAGATTCTAATTATACACATTTGTGATATAAGATCATAATTATTACAAAGAGTAAAATAAATATTTTATGGCTTGTTTTTTATTGATTTTATTATTATAATTTTTAAATACATGACAACAGTGCAATGCATTACAATTATTATTACACATATAGAGCACAATTTTTCATATCTGAGTATATAAAGTATGTTCATGCCAATTTATGCCTTTATACATGTACTTTGAGTTTTTTTGCATTACAATTCTTAATACACATATATACCACAGTTTTTCATATGTCTGCTTGTATATAAAGTATGTTGGCACCCAATTCAAGTCTTCATACATGTACTTTGTATAATGATGTCCATCACATTCCACCATCCTTGCTAATCTCCTGCCCCTGGGCCCTTTCCTTCCCACCCCTCTTCCCTATCTAGAATTAATCTAATCCTCCCATGCTCTTGAAATAAATATTTTTGACAGACCCTCTAACAGGTCATGTATCTTAAAAATATGTATTTTTATTTGAATTTCTAAAGGACTCTATTGTTTTCTCTTTAAGAGACTGGAGACAGAGCATGACAGGAAGGAACCAATCTATCATCTCAGAGTTCCTCCTCTTGGGCCTGCCCATCCAGCCAGAGCACCAGAACCTCTTCTATGCCCTGTTCCTTTTCATGTATCTTACCACCGTCCTGGGGAACCTCCTCATCATCATCCTCATTCGCCTGGACTCCCATCTGCACACACCCATGTATTTGTTTCTCAGTAACTTGTCCTTCTCTGATCTCTGCTTTTCCTCTGTCACTATTCCCAAACTGTTACAGAACATGCAGAGTCAAGTTCCCTCCATCCCCTATGCAGGCTGCCTGACTCAAATGTACTTCTTCCTGTTTTTTGGAGACCTGGAGAGCTTCCTTCTAGTGGCCATGGCCTATGACCGCTATGTAGCCATCTGCTTCCCCCTGCACTACACCACCATCATGAGYCYCAAGCTCTGTCTCTCCCTGGTGGTGCTGTCCTGGGTGCTGACCATGCTCCATGCCCTGTTGCACACCCTGCTCATGGCAAGAGTGTCTTTTTGTGTGGACAACGTGATCCCCCACTTTTTCTGTGACTTGTCTGCTGTGCTGAAGCTGGCCTGCTCTGACACCCATGTCAATGAGTTGGTGATATTTATCATWGGAGGACCCRTTRTTGTCTTCCCATTCCTACTCATTATTGKGTCCTATGCAYGAATTTTCTCCTCCATCCTCAAGGTCCCTTCTTCCYGTGGTATTCACAAGGCCTTCTCCACGTGTGGCTCCCACATTTCYGTGGTKTYRCTGTTCTTTGGGACAATTATTGGCCTCTATTTATGTCCATCARCTAATAATTCTACTGTGAAAGAGACCATCATGGCTCTGATGTACACGGTGGTGACTCCCATGCTGAACCCCTTCATCTACAGCCTGAGGAACAGAGACATGAAGGGAGCTCTAAGAAGAGTCCTTTGTAAGAAGAAAAAGTCCTTCTGTGTTTGATGGAAACACTTGTGATTTTCATATCCTTTTTTTCAGTGAATATATGGATATTAATATTGGAATATTATTCCAGAGTTTTCCCCTCACCTTGGGAACCTTTGTTGAYGTAGCACACTACACAGTGGTTCAATATGTAAAGGAGAGGAAGCTTAGCTGAGCAGTTCACCTAGGGAAGGGGGTCTTGATGATCTGATTTTGCCTTTCTTTGTCTTTCCCAAGTGATCCTGGGAAAGCCAGGTGTAAGAATTACTGTTGACAGTAGAATGAAACAGACATTATTATTACTGTGTGTATATATGTGAATGCATGACCAATGTGATTCTGCAACCTGCAACCCATGTGATTCAAATGTATGATATGTCAAGGTCATTGTACTGTCATGTGTAACTAATTAAAACAAATAAAAAAATTAAAAAAATTAAAAAAGAATTACTTTTTGATGTGATGTCCATGCCTTATATCCTTAAGTTATTATCCCAGGATCTTATCATTTTATCCAGAACTCTGCTTTGTCTCTAGTGTCATTTTTAAGTAGTGCTCTATAATCTTAGGTTAATACTAAATAAGGTCAAAACATGTCAACCTATCAATCTCCCCCAATGTTTCTTACAGACATTTTCTCCTGCAGACATTTTCACATTGTTTTATCTTCAAGGCTTCTTCCCCCCCATCCCAATTTATTTTCATTTTTCTGACTTGACCTAACCTTAAATGGATCTTTCCTTTTTTAAAGTGGATATTTCTAATACTTTTGCTATAATGTTTCATTTTGTTCTTATCCTGGTGATTACCTAATATGAAATTTTATTATTTGTCCCCAGTAATAGGAAGAGTAACTGGAGGTTGGTTAAAAAGTTTAGTTTGTAAGAACACCTCTCTTCTGTTTGGTATTTTGAACTTTGAGAATGTATTTTATGTTTTTCCCCTACTTTCATGACACTTCAATGGGAATAGAAAAGATAGTTTTGTTGTTTTAGAGGCTCAAACTGAACTTCAACATCTCACATTACAAAGAGGGCTAGTTGTTGAAACTGTGTAAGATCACAGGCCATCTGATTTCCATTTCTTCTCATTCTTCTCCTATTTCTGAAAAAAAAAATGAACATCATTTCTTTTTTCTTTCTTCTTTCTTCCTTCCCTCCCTGCATCCCTTCTTTTTGTTAATGGAGTGCTTTACCACTGACCTAGATCCCTGGTCTTTTGTATTTTTAATTTTGAGTATGGTTTCTCTAGGTTGCTGAGGCTAGCCTCAAATTTGCCACCCTCCTGTCTCAGCCTCCCAAGACATTGTACCCAGTTATTTTTCTTAAACTCTTAGCAACACTATGGAATGGACTAGGTTTTCATCCTTTGTCTGTTTGTTTCCTTCATTGTTTCCTGTAACTGCTGACACTCAGATCCATCCTTGGCATCCTCTTATATGTTTTTCTGACCCCGACATCTCCATCTGAAGCCAAGACCAATCTCCAGAGCTTTCAGCCATTCTTAACTACCTAGTGAACATCTCCCCTTGGTGGGTACTTCAATCTCAGCACACACAATCTTGAGCTCTTTATGTTCCACCTAAGTCCTTTATTTGTACGTTATCCCATATCTTGATTTATGATGTCACCTGCTTCTCAGTTACCCGAGCAACACTTCTGTGTGTCTGTATGTGTATATGTGTGTGTATATAATTTGTATTTTGCCTTTTTCATTTAATGTCATTTTTCTGCAATATTTTATTATTCTCCATTTGATTGTTGAGGTAATACCACCTTTCAAAAAAACCCGCATTTCAAAAGAAACCTCCCTAATAATGCCAATATTAACTTCATTTCATTTTCCGAGAGAGAGAGAGAGAGAGAGAGAGAGAGAGAGAGAGAGAAAGAGAGAGGGCTATTTCTCCAGTCATCTAATATACTATAAATAAATAATGTATTTCAATTTATTCAAGTTTTCTTAGTGGAATTTTATAGACGTTTAACTTTTTCCTTGTATATTACTTTCTATTTTTACTTCTAGACATTTGACAGTTTTGGAGGGGATCATTTTTGTGTTTTTGACAGGTAATATATATACATAGAGAAGTTATTGATAGCTTTGTATGACAATTTTGCAATGGATTTTTACTAAATTCTATGTGATTTCTAAAGAAGAATTTTCAATAAAATATCTTGGGTATTGGAGATATACAGCGAGAGCTAATATAAATATTGGTAAGTGTGCATATTCTTTTCAAGCATTTAGTTCTCTTGATTCTTTTCTAACTGCACTGACCATCACTTCAAAAATAATGGAAAATCATAATATTAATATTTAAGGGGACACATAGATGAGAATTGTGGGAACATGAGATTAAGAGAATAATTCTATACAATGAGCCCCCTGTACTGACTCCCCACTTGCTTCCTTTGCCAAAAAGATCTCCAAGAGGGGTATCAACAGCAAGAGTTCCCATGTGAGTGTGGGTGCCTGCTCTTTGTCCTCTAATTCCAGGGAGGATAGAGTCCTCAAGGAAGGGTAGAGTGAGCTCGCCCTCCATGTTGGGTGGGACGCTGGGAGAAGGAAACTTTGCAGAAGAGCCCGTCACTGTACAGCACATCACAGCAGCACTGGTTTGGGAGAGTCTAAAACACCACCTCCACACTCCACATACACATAAGCATGAATCTTCTGAACCACCATGGCCATAAAGATCTGAAAAGTTCTTAGTTCCAAACCTCAGTTCTTGTGTTCTGACAAAAGAAAATTTAAAGTCAGGCACCAAAAGTCATGCAAGAGAACTTTATTTTAAGTGAAGGTGAGGTGAAAATAAAGGAAAAGCAAAGTGAGCCTTCATGCAAGAGAACTTTATTTTAAGTGAAGGTGAGGTGAAAATAAAGGAAAAGCAAAGTGAGGCAGAGGGGGCTGGTTATTCTCAAACGCTGTGAACCGCCCACTGGATGGAAATAGGCTAACTGGGTGTACCACGAGGCATGGAGAGCATCCACCTAGAGGGGTGCCCTTACAACTAAGTTGCATCCCCAGCTCTTTTTATTTCGAGACAGGGTCTCCTTAAGTTGCACAGGTTGGCCAGAACTTGAGATCCTCCTGGTGGATCCATCCTTTCTGGTGGCTGGGATCAGAGGCAATGGCCAGGAGGAAGAGGTGCTCAAGCTAGCACACTGCTGAGTCCAAAGCCCTGGGAAGGGAGCTGTCAGCTGCGGTGTCTTCATCCCTTACTGGGGGCACCAGACCTTTTGCACCCCAGCCTTGTTGTGAAGCCTTCACAGTGCCCAAGACAGCCCTTCTGCCTCCCGAGGGGAAGGAAGGGGGTAGATTCACAAGGAAACCTCATGCGCACCAGCAATGGTTCAATAAAGAAACCTCTTGCATGCAGCCAACAGTTCAAAAAGGAAACCTTGCAGTCCAGGTCAGTGACGCCAAGGCAAGTTGTGGGTTTATCTTTACTAATATTTAGTTAATGTAATTTGAAAAGGAAAATAAGAGAATTTTAAGAGGCCTTCGTTTTTGATAGAACTTTTAGCTAGAAGTCAGGAGAAGATGCTGAGGATTCTTTAAAAACAGAAAAGTGGCACAGACCTGTAATCCCCACGCCTTGGATGGCTGAGGCAGGAGGATCACATGTTTGAGGGTAGCCTGAGCAACTTCAAGACCCTGTCTCAAAATAAAATAAAAATAGCTCTGTAACTCAGCGGTCAAGTGCCCCTGGGTTCAATCCTCAGTACTAATAAGTGAATTAATTTAAAAAATTAAGTTAAAATAAATAAAGGGGAAATCTTTGGAGCTGAGTCGATGGCAGTGCTGCTAGAACAAAGAAGGTGTTGAGCCCCACAAGTGGCTGCAGGACCCCTGTGGGCCCAAGACACTAGAGGTAGGAAGCCCAGGCCTTTGGGCAAGCTGGGTGGATGCTGGCACAGCTTCAGAAGCCTCACCAGAACCTGGCAATGCAAAGGGGTTACCCTAGGCTGGAGGCCAGAGGCTGCCTGGACCTGTGTTTTGGGGTTCTGGGCTGAAAGCAGCAGCCCCTGGGATGCACACTCAGGGGCTGTGTCCAGTCCCTGCCTGCTGGCAGAAGTGCCAGACCAGTTACACCAAAGTGTGGTCTTGTGCTAGGGGTGCTCCTGGGGTGCCAGGAGGAAGAAGGTGAGAATGGGATTGGGGGTGAGGAATCCCTGGGGTGACAGAAGGCTCTTTCATGGCTGCTTGTCAGGAAGTAATCCCCAGGGAGCCAGATGTGACAGGCACAGAATAGCAGAGCTGGCCTACAGGACTAGAGTTAGAGCCCTGGAGAGGGATGACATGTGGACAGCCTCAGGAATCTGGAGACATAAAAGAATAAGCTGAAAGCAAGCTGCCCCAAACAATGTTCCCAGGTGACCCTACGGCAGTCCCAGGGTCAGTGCAGCGAGCCCCAGGAAGGTAGTTCTTTGGGGACTCTGGGGTGGTCCTCAGGGAGGATTGCCTGCCCCTCTTTGAGATGTGATGCTTGCTCCAACCCACCCCTGCTGTTGAGGTCCCTGACACCATCATCCTGAAGCCCTCACCAAAACTGGGCTGAGGCAGATGCCATGATTTTGCAACTCCCCAAATGAGCTAAATCAGCCTCTTCTCTTTAGAATGTTATCTGCCTCAGGCATTATGTTGCAGTGATGCAAGATTAACACGCAGCTGATGCACATGCTTAGTTCTGCAGGCTCATAGTCCATGGCACTGGCAGACTTGGTGTCTGGAGAGGGCCACTTTCTGGTTGGCAGACATCACCTCTGGCTGTGCTCTCACGTGCTCATGTGGCAAAGCCCATGCTTCTTGGGCCTCTTCTAGGAAAGCACTAATGCCACTCATGGGGCCTCTGCCCTCCTGACCTAATCCCCTTTCCAATTCTCCATAGATTTCCACATTAAACTTGGGGGGTGATCACCATGCAGTTGCTCCCAAAATACACATCCTTCCTGAACATGTAGAATACATTTGTTCCCTTCCAGTAGCCCCCAAAGTCCAACTTGGTATGTCTAAGT